ACCCATATTGTTGGGGGCAATAGGCTGACTCTGTAAACTGCTTAGAGAGGACTGTAAAGCACTATATAAGACTAAGTGTATTGCTAAGTGCTATTGCTATGTATATTACATCAACAGTTCTTGATGCAATTCTCAGACATGCTAGTCAGGGTTGCATTTGTCCTTCTACGCATTGATCATGTATAATAAGAAAGTAAGATAGATGAACGGAAGGCGCTAAATTCTAACAAACTACAGATTCATGCAATTCTGCTCATGTGGAAAAAATGGAATAATGGAGCACTCCTAACACGTTGCTTCCTTTTAGAAGCAAAGTTGGGTCATTTCACACTAAAATTTAAAGGTATCCCTGGTAGAAACAAGCTATTGCTAAATCCATGCTCAGTTCTTGTTTACTTCTGAGCAAATCCAGGCCAATAGAAATGCAAATATTCTGTTTCTCGTCTCTTAGCATATATTTGTTTCTGTCATATTTAAAGCTATTGTTCCTGACCAGGGATAGAGATCGGCTAAAGTTTTGGATGCATGCTTTAATCTGATCAGTGCTTGAGCTCTGGGAAGCTGATAGCAATCTCCAGGCTGAGACAAGGCTGCAGTCAGCAGCACCCAAGGGAGATTTTGCCACAAAGGCTTGCTTGTCCTGTTCCTATTAGCAAGCAGATGTAGATGGCAAGGCAGGGATCTCAGGAGTTCATGATTCAGCTGCTGAAGATCTGAGGAGGGTCCTTCAATATTTAATACCAAATCCAATATTCATTTCATGTTCCAACTGATTAGGCATTAGCAGAACAAGAACAGCACCGAGACAGCTTGTTTGAAGAAAGACCCATAAACTGTTTTTAAAAAAAGACAACTATAAAAATTAAACATAAATTCCAAGAGTACATCTAAATGTCAACAGGGGAGCTGCTATCTGTATGCATATGTTCTCTGTGATGGGTACTTTTAATAGGTTATGGCAAAAGATGCCATGCTAACATTGCTCTAGTTAATAATCTGCTAGCAATTTTTTTCACGGGAGCATCTATCAGGGTTGTGTGGATGACAATTTTGAGATGGATCAGGGTGCCAAGCACTTGGTTATCGTGCTGGGCATCTTTCCTCCTGCCCGGTGTGGTGGGAGAAACCCCTCCGTGGCTTAATTAGTTTGACAGCTCTTTGTGGAGATTTGAAATCTGAAACGACGGACTGAATCGTGAAAAATATGTCCCTGCTGATTTTGTTTTGGGAAAAATAAGGAATTTAACACCACTAAACCATTAGTTTCAGAGGCAACAAACTAAAATCTGTCCATATATTACATACTTCTGTGCATGAGTATGCAAAATCTTGCTTGCCATACGTACATGTGTAAAATGCATAAGATATCCATGAATAAAATCTTATTCGGGTTTAAGAGATATTTGGCTTTTATGGAGAAACCTTACTCTCCTGTTGGTCTACTAAGTTGAAAGTTTGCTGTACACTCAGTCCAGTTTGCAACAGACAGTTCAGGTGTCTGATTTTTAAGTTATAGTTGGAAGAGATCTTGAACCTTCAGAAAGGAGATCTCTCACCTTGAAACCATCAATAGCAACAGACAAAGAGTAAGAGATGAGAGGTAAAGCTGAATATGAGTGCATGACATTGTCCTTTCTGTCAATGACTACTTTGGCTTCAACCACAACAATACACGAGCAAATGATAGATACAAACTCAAGGTAAACCATTCCAAACTCGATTGCAGAAAATAAGACTTCAGCAACAGAGTGGTCAATGCCTGGAATGCACTACCTGACTCTGTAGTTTCTTCCCCAAACCCCAAAAACTTTAACTTTAAACTGTCTATTGTTGACCTCACTCCATTCCTAAGAGGTCTGTAAGGGGTGTGCATAAGTGCACCAGCGTGCCTATTGTCCCTGTCCTAATATTCCTTTTTACTTACTCTTTTCATGTATTCAAATTATGTTTATACTTTTACCTGTTATCTTATATATGCGTGACAAATAAATTTATGATTATGATTATGAATGGATCAAGCTCTCGTTTGTTCCTCATCATAATCACAGTGATTGTTGATTTTTTTCATTGCACTGAAAAACTAGCAATAAGGAAACCAGGTTCAATTTACTTGCATTATCATGCCAGAACCTGGAAGTCACACTGAAGAAAATCTTGCTTTTTGACCTCATCCATTTTGGCATTCAATACCATTACAGATAATCTTTGATTTACAACAGTTCATTTAGTGACTATTTAAAGTTACAGCATCACTGAAAAAAAGTGATTTATGACTGTTTTTCACACTTACGACCATTACAGCATTCCCATTGACAAGGTTCCGACTAATGAGCCCAAGCAAATCAGAACTCAGAGACTCAAATCTCTCTCAAGGAGATTCTATCTTTATTGGGAACATCATATTGGCATGATTAAATGTAAAACCAATTCTGAATATTTCCCATGGTTTCAGTACACTTAAAATCATAAATGATCCCCTCCCCAAGTGTCACAGGTCAGCTTGTCCAATTAGGAACTCCCTAGGTGGGCTCCCTAGGAATTCCACTCCATTCTCATTCGACACCTGTGGAGATGACCTTGGTTCCCACGAGATAGAGCGATGTTGTGTCTGACAGTGCATTCCAGCCTCCTTCTCCCGCTTCCCATACTGTGTGGCAACTGAGAACCAACAAAATGGCCTCTGCCAGGTTCAGTTTGAAGTTGACACCCATGGTCACATGGTGAAAATTTAGATGCTTGACAACTGACCTGCATTTATGATGGTTGCAGTGTCCCAGGATCATGTGATCCCTTTGTGCAACCTTGTGACAAGCAAAGTCAATGGAAAAGCCAGATACTAACTTAACAACTGGCAGTGATTCACTTAACAACTGCAGCAAGGAAGGTCATAAAATGGGGCAAAACTCACTTAACAAATGTCCTACTTAGCAACAGAAATTTTGGGCTCAGTTGCAGTCGTAAATTGAGGATTACCTGTATTGATCTGCATGGCCAAGGTAAAAATTGGCCCTTAATCCCAAACTGTTAGCATTTTAAAATAAAAATGCAACAACCTGAACTAGACTTAGAAACAGCTCTCATCTATATTATTGTTTTAGAAAAGGCTGAAAGCTACAATTTTTTGATATTTAAGAATTAAATGCTTATAATTCTAAACCTAGTTTTTACAGGTTCCCACCATGAAATAAATCCATATTTAAGGTAGTCTTCTTCAAAATTTAATATTGAGTAGTAGTCAGATTTTATTCCTGAGTTACAAATTTGAATATTCCCATTAGATATTCTTGGTTAAGTATGTGCATTTAGATCATTGGGTTTTCTTTTCCTTTCCTTTTTTTTTTTTTTTAAAAAAAGGTCCTCCAATTTATAATCCCTGTAGCTTGATCCAAGACATGTAACTTACTTCAACTATTAGGCTCAGAATGAACAAGAGAAATGGCAGATAGTGATATATAAGATCTCAAGAGGCTTCTGACAAATTCTCACGATTATTGGCACAATTTCTCTGCTCTGCTCCCAGAAGGGAAATAGATTCTATGGCAGTTGAAATGTGTATTATTAAACTTCTTAAGCGATCCAGAATGTTTCCCAATAGGCATCGAAAAAATTTTCTAAGTATAGCAAAGTTGAAATTCTTAGGTCTAAGTCTTTCCCATTCAACCCCCATTTGATTCCATCCAACAATCTTTAAACTGGCCCATCATTATTCCATTAAAATAAATCAAAATCCATGTCACCAGAGCCTATTACGGCTACGTAGGTTACTTCCATTCTGTTCTGCTAAAGACAGCCAGATGGGAAAATCTAAGGCCAGATAAAGAGCTGAATTGGCACCAGGTTTAACTTCACATTCCAACAAAGTTGCAATGCTAAAGGGTTTTGCTCGCTATGCTATGACCATTTCCAGTTTGTACCTCCTGGAACTCTTTTTGTTTTGGTAGTTCTCTGAATTGTGAGATGCTGATTAAAAGAAGAAGATAACTCATCTTTTAATTATGAAGGTTAACATAATCAGAATGTTTGCAGTTGAAAACAATGTCATTGCGTGATATGTATCTTGTGCAAAAAATTCATGAATCCACAATTAACTACCAATTTATTTATTTTTAAAAAAGAAAAGCAGATGAATGGAGAAATGCAGTGGAATAGATTTCAAAAAAAAAAAACTTTAAGAAACTAATATGGGTCAGAAATGGTTGGACAATCTCTTTGGCCAAGTATTCCCTGATGGCCCTATTAATGGCAGGCAGAGGATTGCAAAAATGTCTGCCATTTTCAGTTTCTCTTACTGACCTGACGAACTAATGAAGAAGGGAGCAAGATGGACATGCTGAAGTGGCAAATTACTTACTACTTGGGTAAACAAAGATTTTCCTTGAGTTCTTCTCCTGATGACTCCATGGAACATTTTTGTGGCTTTTTTGGAAGCTGTGCTAAAATGGTTTCCCTCCTTATGAGATGTTTGTCCAACTTCCCATCTACTCTACAACTCTGAGATCCCTGATCGTCTTCTGGAAGCCATCTTGGGAAGTGGCATTGTATTTAAAAATAATTTTTATTGAATATAAATATTAAAAAAGACATACATAACATATACACAACAAACATTTATACAACATATACACAAAAAGAGTATAATTTCTTCTTAAGCATTTTTTCAGAGTGACATTCTACAATTCTACTTATAGTATATTCCTTCACCTCTCCTTAATCTAATAACATTTTATATATATATATTTAAATCAGTAATATTTCCCCTTTTATTTTTTGTATATTTCTATTTTTAACCAATTATACCAATTATTCCATATTTTGTAATAATCTGATTCTTCTCTTTCTTGTAATTCTTTGGAAGTGGCATTGTAATGGTTCTATTCAACCAACTGATTTTTCCATTATTCCTTTTCTTTTTTTAGTGCAAAGTAATTTTCAACCTTTGAGTTTTTTTCCCTCCCCCACAAAAATTTCACTTGTTACTTTTTTCCCACCCTCTTTTTCAGCTTTAAATGAGCCGACCATAGACTATGGTTTCCAAAGACTCCAGAAGGTCATCCCGAGACATCCAGGTGATCCAGAACGACTAGCAAAGGTAAAGATCCCTTCCTCACCTATTGACTTCACTCACATAACAAGATAAATGGCTGCATTAGTCCAGCTTTCTGAATCACAAATCAACTTCCCATGTTTGTTCTACCATTGTTTACCCAACCCTGATCTGTGTAGCCAATTTATGCACAATACAGGTAGTCCTCGGCTTATGACCACAACTGAGTCCAATATTTCTGTCGTTAAGCGAGACATTTGTTAAGTGAATTTTGCCCCATTTTATGACCTTTCTTGCCACAGTTGTTAAGTGAATCACTGCAGTTGTTAAGTTAGTAACATGGTCGTTAAGTGAATGTGTCTTCCCCATTGACCTTGCTTATCAATAGGGGAGCCAGACTGGGCATAACAACCCAATTGCAAGGCAGATTGCAGTGGAACACTACAACCGTCATAAATATGAGTCCATTGCCAAGCATCTGTATTTTGATCATGTGACTCTGGGGATGCTGCAGGTGTCAAAAATGGCTCATAAGTCATTTTTTTTCAGTGCCGTTATAACTTAGAATAGTCACTAAACAAATGGTTCTAAGTCAAGGACTACCTGCACAGTGTATGTCAGCCCCTCAATTCTGTATGCATAGTATATTGTGAGCTTATTTATTTATTAAACATATTTCTGTGTTTCCACAATCCAAAGAGACAGTCAGTGGCTCGCACAGAACAGATAGAGGTTGAAACATCCACAATAGGAAGAAAAAAAAGAACTCTAAAATGAATAAAAATAAAAGTCATACAACACGCAGCATACACTGAATAAAACAGATGAAATAATTTGAAATAATTGAGTAAATTTGAAATAATTGAGTAAATAATTGAGTAAATTGACTCTGGGCAGACTCATGATATAGAGTAGAATTGAATTCTTTATTGGCCAAGTGTGATTGGACATACAAGGAATTTGTCTTGGTGCATAGGCTCTCAGTGCACATAAAAGCAAAGATACGTTCATCAAGAATCATAAGGTACAACACTTAATGATAGTCATAGGGAACAATTGATCGGGATTCCCTGTGCACAGTCACTCATGCCCTCGTCACCTCTCGCCTGGACTACTGCAACACTCTCTACATGGGGCTCCCCTTGAAGAGCACCCGGAGGCTCCAAATGGTCCAGAATGCGGCCGCGCGGGTAGTCATGGGAGCCGCATGGCGCTCCCATACAACACCTCTCCTGCGTGAGCTGCACTGGCTCCCAGTGGTCTTCCGGGTGCGCTTCAAGGTGTTGGTTAGCACCTTTAAAGCGCTCCATGGCATAGGACTTAGTTATCTTCGAGACCGCCTGCTGCTACCGACGGCCTCCCATCGACCTGTGCGCTCCCACAGAGAGGGCCTCCTCGGGGTGCCATCAGCCAAACAATGTAGGCTGGTGGCCCCCAGGGGGAGGGCCTTCTCTGTGGGGGCACCTACCCTCTGGAATCAGCTCCCCCAGAGATAAGGAGAATCCAAGACCTCGGTGCTTTCCGCCGTGCCCTTAAAACCTTCTTTTTCCAGCAAGCCGGGCTGGCCTAACACTTTTTAAAATGTTTTTTAATTGTTTGTTATTGTTTTTAATCATGGGGCCAAATTTATGTATATCTTTTTAATTGTATTTTAATGTTTGTAGTTTATGTTTTTATTTGGCTGTTCACCGCCCTGAATCCTCAGGGAGAAGGGCGGTATACAAATTTAAAAATAAATAAATAAATAAATAAATAAATAAATAAATAAATAAATAAATAAATAAATAAAATTAAGCATCAGGAAACAATATCAATATAAATAGTAAGGATACAAGCAACAAAATCACCGTCATGCAGTCATAAGTGGAAGGAGATGGGTGGTGGCAACGATGAGAAGATTAATAGTAGTGCAGACTTAGTGAACTGTATATATGAACTGATGGATTGGTTTGATTTAGTTTAACATAGTGTTTTTGTAAACCATGCTTTATGGCTTAGCACAGTGATGGCAAACCTTTTCAGCACCAAGTGCCCAAACCGGAACGCTCGTGCATGTTGCTTGTGCCGGAGCGCCGGAAACTCGAAGACCTGTTTCTTGGGCCGTTTTCAGGCTATTTTCCAGCGCTCCAGTGCCCGCGAAGACTAGAAACCAGAAGAGCAGCTGGCGACAGGCGTGTGCCCACAGGTTCACCATCACAGGCTTAGCATGTTCAGAGCATGATTGAATTAAGGAAGCCTGGTTAAGTGTGCTCTTCCCTCTATTTGTTTTCATGGCGGAAAGCTACTGGGAGTGCATAAACAGAATGGTGAGATATGAGTTACTAATAAATAATAATATTAAAAAAATATTATTTAATATTTTTAAAATTATTTAATATTTTAAATAATATTTTTTTTAAAAAAATGCTAGCATTTGTCCTGCTTGATTTCAGGGTCTCTTGTGTCTCACACTGGGCTTGCCTAGCTCTTACCGCCACATTTTTCAATGCATGACACATCCTTGGTTGTCCTTCCTTTCTGCTTGCAGGAGATGCTTTTGAAACGAGCAGCTGACCTAGTTGAAGCACTCTATGGGACACCACATAACAATCAGGTTAGAGTTCCTCTCTCTTTTTTTTATCCCGTGAATGTGTAAAGAAGGCATTGTGTTTGCAGCTTCTCCTGAGTCACCTTTTCACCTGACCCACTTGAGTGGAACTGATGAGGCTTAATGCTCCATTAAGACTCCTCTACAGTTCTACCAGGGAGGTCTTTCTCATTCTGGTACAGAATTTATCTGCCATTTCAGTCCAGTAATCCATTCAAAGGAGACAATTTCTCCTTCTTCCAAACTCTGTTTGCAGAGGATGGGCGTACAACCTGCTAGTTCTGTTCCTCCTCCATCATCCTGTCTGATGAAATTTCTGGTGTGCTAATTTCTAGTCTTCTCTATTGGGTTATTTTATTTCAATCCAGATAGTCTGCAAACAGAGAAGGTTGGCTTCTACAGAAACTTCTAAAAAGTTTTATAAACATTTTTAAAAGCTTGTAATTTTGGAGATCTTCCTTTAGCCCGTTCTTTATTTTTTTAGGGGACGCGGTGGCTAAGACGCTGAGCTTGTCGATCGAAAGGTCGGCAGTTCAGCGGTTCAAATCCCTAGTGCCACGTAATGGGGCGAGATCCTGTTCCTTGTCCCAGCTTCTGCCAACCTAGCAGTTCGAAAGCACGTAAAAATGCAAGTAGAAAAATAAGGACCACCTTTGGTGGGAAGGTAACAGCGTTCCGTGCACCTTTGGCATTTAGTCATGCCAGCTACATGACCATGGAGATGTCTTCAGACAGCGCTGGCTCTTTGGCTTTGAAACAGAGATGAGCACTGCCCCCTAGAGTCAGGAACGACTAGCACATTTAACTAATACCTTTACCTTTTATTTCTTTGCCTTCGATCTACCAGTTTTTCTAGTCCTCTTTTTCTATGATATTTATTCATTCTTCCCATTCTCTCCCTCCCATTCAGTGCCCTCCCAAAACAGGGACAGATAACACCTGTTAGAGTTCTCAAGTGTCAGATCCACAGGGCTTTTTTAGGTTATTATGTGTTTCAGCTTTAGGACCCACAGATGGCTCATCTGGGCTCTAGGTGAGGAGTGAATAGTATTTTTTTCTACATTTCTCATCAGAGTGACTTTATTTATTTATATTTCATGTTTCTAGACCATTCATCTCCCTCAAGGAGAGCTATTTCGGATGTCAAAAGTTGATGGAGTTGAGGCAAGTGAGGGGGGGTACCCCTTTTTCTCTTTCTGGCATCTTCTCCTTTATTCTCCTTTATTTTTTCCTTCTGATACCCTTTTACTTTGCTAGACTTCCACTGCACAGAGAGGCCAAGCGGAAAGGAACAGTTTACTCTTTACAGTATGAAACCTTGGAGGAAGAGGACTTTTAAATTAGCCAGTTAGCCAAGTATAATTAGCCTGAGAGCCTATTTGAAATGAAACCTTAGAAATTAGAAATAACAACAGCAGTAGCAGCCGACCTGATCTTGGTATTTTCTTACACATCTTACCTGGTCCCTCTTCATCTCAAGACACATATTTGCTGAACATCTGGGGAGGATTTTTTCTTCTTCTTCTTTTTTTAATTTGTAAAGCAAATCAGTCCACCTGGAATAAAATTTATGCTGATTTTTGTTCTTGTTGTTTGCTTGTTTCAGGACATTATTCTGAAGCGAGCTGCTGATATTGCGGAAGCTCTTTACAGCGTCCCAAGAAATCCAGGCCAGATCCCTGCTTTGTCCAGCTCTCCTGCTCACAGTGCCATGATGGGCATCAACTCCTATGGCAGCCAGTTGGGAGTCAGCATCTCTGAGTCCACACAAGGGAATAATCAAGGTAAAAGTGCTGAACTGAAAGGTGCACAATGAATGAAGGTTTTGCTTCAAGAAGATTATGGCCAGAAACTGGGAAATATTGGTCATGGCTTAATCAAGATGTAGCCCTTATTAATTACCAAGGCCACCATAATAATACATTGTTTTCTTTATTTATAAAAAAAATTGGTTTCAGTATTGTCCATGTCATACTATTCTCTTTTTAATTTTCTTCTAAAACATTGCCCATCCATAGCCTTAATCGTCCCTGTAGTTCATATGCACGTGTTGTATAAATCCATTTCTCTCTCTTACAATTTTCAAACAGTTTACCTTTTAAAATCCATCCTTTGTGGGGGGAAAAGAATTGACCATGGATTTCTGCAGAAACCCTCGAGAAGGTGCAGCCTTGACCACAATTTGCAGCAAATCCCATGTTAAACTTATAAATATTAAAAACACAAGTGTGCTAATTTTTTCCAGATCTTGAAACAACACCCTTTCACATTCTTTCAACATGCAGATCTGATTGGTGAAATGTACATATGTTGTCAAACAAAGTGAAGTACTTGTCAACTAGTGGAGCTTGCTTGAGGGTGAGAGGCTGCAACAGATCTTTAGAGAGGACCTTATGTTTTATCCTGCAAAACTGTATTTGTGGAGTTAGTAGCAGCATCAGCACACTTATTTGGCTTTTAACCTTGAAATACAAACCCTGCGATTAATCATCTGAGGACTCTGATCTTAGAGAGAAATGAAAAACTATGCAGAATTAAAGAAGATTTTGAATGGATCTATAAAATCCTGAACGGATTTATAGTCTCTCAAAGTGGATGTGATTGACCCAACAATATCCACCATACTGTGAAAGGGTATTTATAATTCAAAGTACGTGCTGTATCCATTTGAAAATATAGCTCAGCCATTGCCTTCAGATATGTATCTTAACTACACATTGTAAAAAGAGGTTTTGGAGGGTTGTAGACAACCCCTGTATTAGCACATCATATTATGCAATAAAGGAGAATATTTGTAGCTCAAGGTTGACACGAAGGGTCCTTGATGGTCTTTGAGCTTTCTTTCTTTCTTTCTTGCATACTATGCAATCTTTGACAATAATAATTTTATCAATAGAAAATATTTGTAGCTTAGGGTTGAATTGGTGCTAGCTGAGCTCCATTGTTTTATTACCCAACTAGGTAACATTGTCAGTTTTAAAAATGCATACATAAATAGCTAGATACACACGAAATAATAGAAGATTCCTAATATGACAGCCTTATTTGATAAAACAGATGTTTGGAGTAGGAATATCAGTGAAGCAGCTTAGAAGAGGTAACTTTCTAAAGATAAACTTTTATTTTCTGTTGCTCTGCTTGACAAAACTAGAACAGGAGGCTCTAGAGGGAGGTTGCTTGGTGTAAGTTTAAGTAAGACTTCCCAATAGTAGGAGCTGTTTGACTATCAAACAATTTCTTCTTGACTTGGTGAGGTTGCCTTTTTTCTTTCATGATTGGACAATCATCTAACAAGATGACAGCCCACATTATAACAAAACTCCCCAAATTTTTTTTTCAACTCTGGAATTCTATATTTCACTTCATAAGATGAATTATTTGTTGTTGTTCAGTAACTAAGTCATATCTGACTGTTCCACAACCCCTTGGAGCACAAGAGTCTGTCCTTCACTGTCTGCTGGAGTTTGCCCAGACTTACATTCATTGTGTCAATCACACTATCTATCCTCTGCCATCCCCTTCTCCTTTTGCCTTCCATCTTTCCCAACCTTGGGGCCTTTTCCAATGAGTCCTCTCTTCTCATTTGGTGACCAACATATTTGAGCTTGAGTCTCGGTATCTGTCTGTCCAAAGGACAGCCAGGGCTTCGATTTCCTTAAGCTGAACTAATACTATGCCAAATTTTGCCTTTCGGTTTCTTCCCCAGTGGAAAATGAGGTCTGTTTTCCACCGTTATCTACATTTTTGAATGCATATTTTTTCCCTTTCTTTTCCACGCATATTGCTTTGAAGGAGCAAGAAAATGATCCTAATGGTTGTTTTCTTTTACATATTTTTCAATCGCTCTCACAATCCCCCCTCACCATTCTCACTTCCAAACTGAAAACCCCATGAAAGAAGTTCCTTCTTGAGATCTTTCTCTGGGACTTAACTGAAGTGTGAGGAACCAAAGAGGCTGCAGACTGCTGGAAGGAGGATTGTATAATTAAAAAAAAAATGTAGCATTCACACACACTTCTCGGCCATCTGGTAACTAAATAAGAATGCCATAGTCCACCCTTGAGGATTAAATTGAAATTCTTTTCTCCTTTGGAAAAGAGTGAAAGTAAACCCTCACGTTCTATTTAGATCGACAAAGCTAAGAGAATGATTTTCTTTTTTCATCATTATTTAGGATTCTGATTCCAGGGGAAATGTTATTTTGTTGTATACTTGGGCACTTTTTCATGCTATTTTTCCTCTCTCTCCCTCTCTCTCCCTCTCTCTCTCTCTCTCTCTCTCTCTCTCCCTCTCTCTCTCTCTCTCTCTCTTTAAATTTAAAATGTTAAAATACAAACTCCAAAAAAATGGGGAGGAGGAAGGAAAGGAAATATAAAAGTGAAACGAAACTAGACAAGACGACACAAAGAGAAAATAACGTGCCTCAAAAAGGAAAAACAAAACAAACCTATACATAAATTGTTCCCCTAATTGAATAATGATAAATATATTTCAAAAAATAATAATCCCCCCTTGTGATGCAGGCCACACAATTTATAAATTTCTAGAACACTGTTTACCCAAAGTATTTGGCCTGACATCTATCAACTATACAGAAAAAAGCCACAGTCAACAGATGAAAACAACAGCAAAATTAAACTACTTGTTTGGTTTTGATCAGATTTGCTTTATTTTAAATATGCTTAATTTTTTGTGCTGATCCATGACCATAATAAAGATTGAATGAAAGAATGAATCTATTCATGATCCAGATAACAGAAGAGTGCAGGTCTAAGAGAGACCATCATGTTATCTTTACTGATGGACGCTCGGTGAAATGTTTATTTCTTGCAGGCTACATCCGTAACACAAGCAGCATATCCCCACGAGGTTATTCCTCCAGCACGACCCCTCAGCAGTCTAATTACAGCACCCCCAGTAACAGCATGAACGGCTACAGCAATGTCCCCATGTCCAACCTGACTGTTCCCAGTTCACCTGGATTTATTAACGGTTCTCCCACAGGATCGCCCTATGGCTGTGAGTAGCTTCCTTCTCTTCTCTTCCTCCAGCTCCAGATGACCTTGGGGTTGGCTTAAGTTAAGAGGCAATCTGTCAGAAAATGTTTATTTCCTTTCTTTGGGTCATCTGCCAGAAGGTGCCTCAACTTTGTAATGAGACAATTAAGCCCCAAAATTCTGCAGAGCAAGCTTTGCAAGAACACAGGAGTGCTTTTGTCAACTGCTTGTGGTTATCTGCCACAAATGTATTAGGTGGCTCGGTCTCTCTGGAATTTTAGATCTTGGTATCTTTCAGCACAGGGGTGAAATGTTCCTGGTTCGGACCGGATCGGGCAATCCGGTAGTAATTGTGGCAGGTGGTTCGGAGAACCGGTAGCGATGGTGGCGCGAGGCTCCACCCACTCACCTGGGTGTCATTACTTCCTGCTTTTAAAAAGTAAAAAAAGGCTCTACCGATCGTGCGCCACAGCTGTGATCATCAGAGCCTTTTCTTTACCTTTTAAAAGCATCTTTTTACCAGCTATTCACCGGAATAGGTTGTAAAAAAATGCTTTTCAAAGTAAAAAAAAAAAGCTCTGAGGTCATTTGTCAGAGCCTCTTTTTTTACTTTTAAAAGCATTTTTTACAACCTATTCTCCCAAATAGGTTGTAAAAAAATGCTTTAAAAATGTCAAAAAAAAAAAAAGTTGGCCACACCCACCTAGTCACATTCCCCCCAAGCCACGCCCACAGAACCAGTAGTAACAAATTTTACATTTCACCACTTCTTCAGCACCAGCAGCTGGGAATCTAATAGCCCATCAAAATCCATAACTTCTGTCTGCCCTGCTCTCCTTGTTTTGTTCTGATCTCCAATGCCAGGAGTGGCCCACAAGCAGATCCAAGCTCCAAGTTGGCCACAAGTTGATTTTATTATTATTAACCTTTAACTATAACAACCTTTTTTGAAGTTGTGTATGGGGAGGGAGAGAAAGAACAGAGAGCATGAGAATGTTCCCAGATGAGAAAGAAAAGGAGTACCGAAAGGAGAGGAAATATGTAGTCCTTCATTATCAGAAATATCCATCAGCAGTTGTTCCTAAATTATTGTCTCCTTTAATACCAAGTGACGTGGTGGCTCAGTGGCTAAGATGCTGAGCTTGTCGATCGAAAGGTCGGCTGTTCAGCGGTTTGAATCCCTAGTGCCGCGTAATGGGGTGAGCTCCCGTTACTTGTCCCAGCTTCTGCCAACCTAGCAGTTCGAAAGCACATAGAAAAATAGGGACCACTTTTGGTGGGAAGGTAACAGTGTTCTGTGCACCTTTGGTGTTTAGTCATGCTGGCCAGATGACCACGGAGACGTGGTCTCATGACCACGGACAGCGCTGGCTCTTCAGCTTTGAAACGGAGATGAGCAGCGCCCCCTAGAGTTGGGAACAATTAGCAAATATGTGCAAGGGGAATCTTTACCTTTACCTTAATACAAAAGGAATCAGTGTGCAGTTAATGTATGTGGTTGGATGTTGTTATTTTCATGTCCACAATGCCTTGGGCTTAGTAGTGGTGGCCCCCTTACAGGAAATCTGTTCTCAGCTTTCTTCTCAGAAAGCCACAGTTCCAAAAGAGATCATCAAGAAAGAAGATGACCTTCCAAAGTGCTTTATCCAAAGCCCTGGTGTGTGTATGTGGGTGTGTGTTTTCAATCTTTCATTTATCTTTTTCCTTTCCTACCACCCTCCAATTTTATACGCATAACAGTTTTAATGTTTGAATGGACTACAGCACACTAGCCTGCAACTGGCCAACTCTGTTTTAGCCAGGGCAAACAAGTTAGGGAAATTCAGGCACTTTGTGGGACAACTAGACTAAGTACCAAAATCTGCAAAAATCGGATCCATATATGAAAGATAAGACCCTTAAAAACATCTTTTCCATGTTGATGTGTATGTTTTAAGAATAGTCCAAAATAACTTTCATTGTTCTATGAAAAGCAGCTCTTCCCTTTTTTAAATTTTTACTCAGGGCTCAGCTGCAAATGAATTCCAGGTCCTTTTTTGCTTCCTTGGAGATACTAGAGTAGAATGGGGTAAGAATTGAGGTTTCTTCTGAATATTGCTGAGAAGTCATGGATTAGGACTGGGTGGGGGGGAAATATCTCATTGTCTATACCATTAAATCTAGAAGAATGATTAAAACTTTGCTTTTCTGGTAAAGAATCAGGGGTGAAATTCAGCAGGTTCTGACAGGTTCTGGAGAACTGGCTGCGGAAATTTTGAGTAGTTCAGAGAACCGGCAAATACCACCTCTGGCTGATCCCAAAGTGGGGAGGGAATGGGGATTTTGCAATATCCTTCCCCCAGGAGTGGGGGGGAATGGAGATTTTGCAGTATCCTTCTCCTGCCATTCCCACCAAACTACGTCTACCAAGCCACACCACTCCCACCAAGCCATGCCCACAGAACCTGTAGTAAAAAAAAATTGAATTCCACCACTGCAAAGAATGCCATGGTCAATACCAGGTCTTATTATAATAGCAACAGGACCATCAATAAAGAGACTGCAGCTAGTGATAATAGACTTTGATGCCACTATTAACTACATTTTTTTAAAAAAAAACCCATATTATTTGGTTGGTGGGGGGAAGAGAGAGAGACAGAGGTCAAGAGACGGTGAAATCTAGTCCTACTTTAAGCATGAAGCCAACAGGGTGACTTTGGGCTGGTCACTCTCTCTCAGTCCTAGGAAGAAGGTCCAGGTGAAACACTTCAAAAAACATTGTCAAGAATGTCAAATGGTCTTCTCCAGGTAGTCACCAGGAATCATGATCAACTCAAAGGCTAAATAAAGCCGCAGTGGTGCAGTGGTTAGAGAGCAATACTGTAGGGTATTTCTGCTGACTGCCGGCTGCCTGCAATTTGGCAGTTTCAAATCTCACCCACGGTGACTCAGCCTTCCGTCCTTCCGAGGTGGGTAAAACGAGGACCCAGATTGTTGGGGTCAATAGGCTGACTCTGTAAACTGCTTAGAGAGGGCTGTAAAAGCACTATAAGGCGGTATGTAAGTCTAAATGCTATTGCTGTTGCTATAAACAAGCAAATAACTGCAGTTTTGTAAAAGTGAGATTAAATTCCAGCGAATGTGCTAGGATTGATTTCAGAGTCGGGAGGAAAATTAAAACAACATTCTCAAGCACCCTAAGAATAAAATGAATGATATTCCCAGGAAAAAAGGGCTGTGTGCATGTATGAGTGTGTGTATGTGTGTTTGTGTTTGATATATGATTTTGAGGACAGATTTATCCACCCACCCAGGGTGGATAAATCCCAAACCAGCAGGCACTACTTCCATGTCTATATCCAATTATATAACATGTTTATTAACCAGTGGCAGTATTGAATTCTTTTCCACACTTGTCTGCACTTATAGGATGAGAACATTTTGAATTTGTTAGTAATAAATGGCCTGTTTGGAAAAAGAAAAAGAAAGTCACCAAGAAAAAAAATCTGAAATGTTGATTACTTTTGCACAGAGAGTTTAAAGTTGGCCAAACAGATGTTTGCTGGTTTTTTTTTTTTTTTTTTAAGAAACGAGAAAACTTACAAATTCTGCTTCCTGGCTGAATTGTGTGTGCCAAGTTTCAGTTCCAGAGAAAAAGAAACAAAAAACAAAAAACAAAACAGCTGAATTATATATTCCTGACCATCAGAGTTTACAATGAGATGCAGACAGATCCTTGAGAAAAATAAAATTAGAGAATCATTCAAAGCTAGAGGAGATATACAGCAATGTGAAATATAGTGGTGATTCCATAGGTGTGCCACAGATTAATGGAAGCATCTTAACCCAAAATGAAATTTGTTTGCTCATTTTAAAGTTGGTCCAGATCTATCGGACCACATTTCCTACTGTGCCCACCTATGGAGATGATAGCAAATGTAATCAGCTCATGTAGAATGCATCAAGAGTGAGAGCCTTGGTGGCGCAGCAGACTAAAGCACTGTTAAGTAACACCAGCTTCCTGCAATTACTGCAAGTTCAAATCTCACCAGGCTCAAGGTTGACTCAGCCTTCCATCCTTTCGAGGTAGGTAAAATGAGGACCCGGATTGTGGGGGCAATAAGCTGACTTTGTATAAAAAAGAACACCGCTTAGGGGCCCCCTGAAAGCCCTACTAAGCAGATATATACAAAAGTATGAGGGCTATTGCTTAACGCATTGTAAGCCGCCCTGAGTCTCCGGACAAGGGTGGCATATAAATCGAACCAATCAATCAATCAATCAATCAATCAATCAATCAATCAAGCTGGGGAAATCTGCTTGAAAATATTCATTTAGAAATCTTGATTATCTTGTATTTCACAACATTGTGGCCTCCTCATTTCCCCATGTTTCCTCCCTTCACAGAACTTTACCCTGGCTTGGCTAACCTTGGTTAGGCCTTTGCATCTATCCTGCCTTGACATGATCCTGTTTATGGTACATGACTAATAGGAAAAAGGATTCTTGCCCTTCCCTGTTCATGAGCTGCTCCATTCAGATAGTATACATTTCAGGACCTGATTCCTGATTATGGGATTCTCTTCTAGTTTCTCATCTGGTTCCACCCACTTTTGTATGTTTTAAGAGAGATTTGAAAACTTACTTATTTAATAATCCAGGGGTGTCAAACTCAAGGCCCGGGGGCCAGATCCGGCCCACCAGGTGCTTAGATCTAGCTTGCGGGGCCACACTGGAAACAGTGAAGGGCTGACCCATGGGGCCTCTGCCAGTAAAAATGGAGCTCGGGAGGGCCACAGGCACCTCCCCCCGAGCTCTGTTTTCGCTGGCAGAGCGCTTGGGCCACCACAGGTACCCGCGACATGAGTGATGTCAAGCTGACCATGCCCACCCTGGCCCCGTCCACCCTGGCCCCGAGGTCAAACACAACCCTGATGAAGCCCTCAATGAAATCGAGTTTCATTGATCTAGACTGATTGGTGGAAATAGTTGTGACTAGATGCTGAGAATGACTGTTAGTAAAATGAGATGGTAGGTTTAACCTGTTGTGATTAATAAAATCAGAATGCAGGGTATCAGGTTATTTATTTATTTGTACCCCACCTTTATTATTTTTACAAATAACTCAAGGTGGCGAACATATTCAGCACCTCTTCCTCCTCCTAATTTCCCTAACACAACAAACTTGTGAGGTGAGTTGGGCTGAGAAAAAGGGACTGGGCCAGAGTCACCCAATTGGCTTTCATGGCTAAACTGGGACTAGAATTTCATAGTCTCCTCCTTTCTAACCTGGTGCCTTAACCAGAATGTTATACTTGCCTAAATATTATTTTTTATGATGATTGTAAATGTATAATACATCAATTTAATGGTTAAGATACAGGACTAGAAGTCATAGCCTCCTTAGGTACAGAATCCAGCTGGGTGACTTTGGGGTAATCCTGGTCTCTCAATCCTAAAAAGAAAATGATAATATTTCTTGGCAAGAAAATGTTGGCAGGGAAACTACATAGACTTGTCCATAGAATTGCCTGAAGTCAAGACTGATATAGAACATAAATAAATATTTAATGATATATATTGTACAGCAGAGTCCTCCAACCTTGGCCACTTTAAACCTGGACGACTTCAACTCCCAGAATTCCCCAGCCGGCTGGGGAATTCTGGGAGTTGGTCCTCCAGGTTTAAAGTGGCCAAGGTTGGAGACCCCTGTTGTACAGTATTCTTGTAATTTTTCTATCATTTTAGCTTAAATTATCATTTTAACTGTGGCTGGACCACAGTTGTAAATAAAAGATTTATTATTCACCATGTTTATAAAGTTAGTGAACAAGATGAAGTCTCCTTTGAGTTGAGTTTGGTTGTAGGGGACATCATGGACATGTCTGGGTAATGTTCTCAGCAGTATCTTCAAGGTATTTTGCCATTACGTTGCTCTGAGGGTTCCCCCCCCCCAGCATCAGAATCTAACTTATTGTTTGTCAACTCTTAAAATGGGTGGACCTCAATTTTTAGAATTTCCAGGCTGACTGGAGAATTCTGGAAGTCCAATCATTTTAAAGTTGGACTTTATGGAACTGATCTGATTAACCATCCTGATATTTCCTAGGGTTTTCCCATCTAAATAATGACCAGGTATGCTCCTACTTAGCTTTTAAGCCCAGACAAGTTCAGTCACCTGCTGAAGCTTGAAAAATAATTAGATTTGGCTAATATAGCCCAATCATCACAATGACTGATTCACACACATCACACTAAGTTTAAAAGAAGCAAACCACATTTTGAAGTTGCATAGTAGGTGAACCCAATCAATTAGTAATATAACTGAACACCAAATGCTGTAGGGGTTTGGTATATATTCAGCTTCCTCTATGTATTATTTTTAATATTCAAAATCAGTTAGCATTGCAAAGCTCCCCAACCTTTTAAAGCTAAGGAATTTAAGAAGAAATACATAATCAAGAACATGGCAAACTTGAGGTTAAAACTGTAAGGGTCGTATCATATACATGTGCCCACAGTGCATGAAAAATACAAGTTATACAAATATAGCCAAATATAGCTAAAATTACATACACATGCATGGATATACTCTTTTTATTATTTACTGCCTCCTGGCTACACTACCACTGTTGTTTGCCTCACTATTAACTTGTCTTTACAAGATACTTTTTACTACTCATCATTGTTGTTTCTTCTGCTGGGCAGGGAGATACAATTTTAAGCAAAACTTTGGTCTGCAATCAACTGACATTTTAAAAGTGTTCTAGAAATATTATATGGGGCTCAGTAGCATCTTTGGAATTAAAAATCTGTTGTGGGACATCCATTTGCTATGAATGAATGAATGAATGAATCAATCAATCAATGAAATTCAATTTTAAGCAAAACATTGGTCTGTAGTCAACTGACATTTTAAAAATGTTCTAGAAATATAATATGGGGCTCAGTAGCATCCTTGGAATTAAAGATCTGTTGTGGGACATTCATTTGCTTTGAATGAATGAATGAATGAATGAATGAATCAATGAATCAATCAATCAATCAATCAATCAATCAATCAATCAATGAAATTGAATGTTTAGGACCCAAAGAGATTTGTTGAATCTATGGAATTCATGGAAGTCTCAATTGGATGCTTCTTAAGGGTGATGTGATTGTGCAAATTTGTGATTGTTTGCCTTTCCAAGTCCCTACTTGTTCTAACTCAAGTTGATATCTCCTCCCTCTCAGTGATGTCTTCAAGCCCCACAGTTGGTTCTTCAAGCAGTTCCTCCATCCTTCCATTCTCCTCCTCTGTCTTTCCTGCTGTCAAACAAAAGAGTGCCTTTGCTCCTGTCATCCGACCCCAGGGGTCCCCTTCCCCAGCGTGCTCCACTGGCAATGGAAATGGGTTTAGAGGTAAGCAAAAATCTACTTCCTTCACCCACCATTCTCCCAGAACTTCATCTCTATATATGTCATAGGTTTTATTTCAAAGGTACTATAATGGGGGGGAGCATGCCTCAACATGGACTTTGCACACCGTTCCTATGTGCAAAGCAATCTCCTAAAAATGGAGTGTGGTACACAGAATTGTACCCATATAATCCTCACCTATCCCATTATCCTTCTTAGGTTTTTCCCACGGTCTTTGATTACACAGAAAGCCAGATCCTAACTAACAAAAAATAATAAAAGAGTAAAAGCAGGAAAGGAAGATAAAATTAAAGTGCACAAAGTAAAGTAAAGAGAAATAGAACAAAGCTTCAAATCTCCTTTGCAGCAAATATAAATACAATTATAAAGTTATCTCTTACTATGATTACAAAAAAAAAGAAAAAAAGAAAAAAAGCAGAATCAGAAATTGTAAATGCATTTTGTTCTGTTTTATGCAGAATAGAGCTTTTGGTCAATGATAAATGTAAATACTGGGGTTTTTTGCTAATCAAATAAGGTAATTTAGCTATCTCCACAAGTTTCCCATCTTTGCCAAGTATTTCTCCATTGTGAGTGGTATAGAAAACTTTTCATGAGATGTCAGCTTGCAAGAGCTGCAGTAATACCAAGAGCTTTTATGAATTCTAATCATCTCATAAACTGCAAAACCTCAGATCAAAACTGTCCAAAATTTGTGAGCGCAACAATCATTTCCTTTCATTTCCTTTCATTATTGCTTCCTTACAATAAGTATATGCTTTTTAATCTCTTCCCAAAAGCTCTAAGTCACTTGCAAATAATAAAGTATAAAATAAAAATAAAAATAATCACTAACTGCAATGAAGAATCCCATCAGGCATCAATCCCCAGGTCTTTCTGAACATCCTGGCCGTAGTGATTTTCTTAAGTATTGGGCTGTTCCAAAGTAATTATTTAATACAAATGAATGAATAAATGATCAAACTAATTTGAATTCCCAGAACATTGCATCAGACAATGTAATTGCACCTGCCGCTGAGAAAATATCCATTTCTGTTTTTATATAAAAAAAGGCTATGCCATATATTGTTTCAAAAGGTCATTACATAAAATGGATAGGAATAAAAAAAATGCTGTTATAGATATATCTAAATCTGATGTACAAATAACTTATATGAGTCAATGTGGAAACACATCACTTCCATCTGCATTTAAATCATCAGTCAAATCTTTCTCCTTTTTTTCTATTTATATCATTCATTCATTCATTCATAAAAAAGATCACATCTTTAATTTTCCTGTGTGTTCTCATTCAGTTTGATTAAAGGGGATTTGCTTTAGAAACCTAAGACCAAGGTTGAGTAGTTAAGGCACTAGGCTAGAAACTAGTTCTAATCCCACTTTAGGCATGAAAGCTGGCTGGGTGATTTTGGGCCAATCACCAGGAGACGTGGAATTCTAGATCCTCCTTAGGCATGAAATCTGGCTGGGGGACTCAGCCCAATTTACCTCCCAGGGATTTTGTGTGGAAAAGAGGAGAAGGAAGGAGTAATGCTTGCACCTTAAATTACTTTAAAAAGTAATAAAAAAGGATTTAAAAAATCTTTTTAAAAATTACAGTGCCAATCTCATGAATAGAGTCTGGGGGAAAAAATTTGGGGGTGGGGAGAGAATATATGTGAATACACTGTCTTTCACTACAGTGTCCTCTCTCTTCTGCCATCTGTAGCCTTTTTGACTTCTCATATTTTAATTCAATTTTCGAAGAAAAGCATCCTGTAAAAACTGTTTCTCAAACTGGCAAGTGAGGGCAGCAAATGATGAGAACATGTGAAATAGAATCTTCCAGTACCTCCAACAACAAGGGAAATTTAAAAACACCAGTCAAAGAAATTTGAAAGACATTCTCAAACCCCTTAAAGATAAGGTAGAACAACCAAAGTCTTTGGTGCAAGAATCTCCAATTTTTGTAATCGAAAGACAGATCTTCATTATGCTGTGCCTTTCTTACCCTTCCTCTTCCTTATTCCAGCCTTCCCCCCATTCCTCACCCCCATTCCAACAGTCAAAAAGGTGGAATAGAGGCAGGGAAAAAGAGTGGTCTATTGTGTGACATGCTATAAATTGTATTCTCCAGCGCTGCCATATTGATTTTTTTTCCCCCGGCCTCCCCTATTCCAGTCAACAGAACGCAAAGCAGTCCATTGATAGAAGTCTGTAGGCATTTCCAAAGATCAGACTTTTGCCAACTGGGTAATATATGCCTTGGAGCTTTGCTCCAAATCTCAGAGGTGACATGATCTGCCTTGGCGCTCACTATACAGATTGAGGCTGGCAAAGCAAAAAAACAGCAGTTCTGAAGCTAGAGATGCTGTTCTGTCAACCTGCCACAGTTGCTTGCCTTTAAGGCTACCTAGCTCTCCACCAAATATGATTAGTTCAGAAGTACCAGAGAAAGAAGCTTCCAGTTTAAACCCTTGAAGATATATAAAGTTCTTGGCATCTTTATCTGGCTGTAGGCTTTCAACTGTTGTGAATGCAGCTTCCTTCTTGCCTGCTATAGAGACCCTAATGTAGCTTAGCCTTCAATGATTCTTCTGCCAACTCAAGTTGAGAAGCTGAGCTAAGGATGGGGTGTCAGTCTGTCAATGATTTATTGCTGTGTCCAAGGGCAAAGCTTCCATTCTGAGGGAAGCATCCGAGGGTGGTGGATGAACGTTGCCCTCTTCCGTTGTTCGCTTCAAGGCAGGTGGCATCTGCACATGTTCAGAAAACCATGGCAAGGCCAAAGATGCTAAAGCAGAGCAAAGCATCAACTCCAATTTGAAAAGTTAAAAAAAAAAAAGTGAAAATGCCACTTTGCTTCACAGATCTGTTCCAATACAGTGATTTTCAGTTGAATCAAGTTACTCCAAAGAAGCTCAGCGCGGGTCCTGAAGATGTAACTTTCTCCAGGCTAAGTGACATGTCAGATTAAATCAAATATTTATCATTGTCATAGAACAGCATCAAGAGGGCAAATTGTATTTTTAATACAATTAAATGTATTAAATGTATTAATGTATTTTTTAATACAATAAAAAAATATAATAGATACATCAAGGTCTTGGTAATAATAACTTTAAAAGCTAAAATATTTAAAAATGAATGTATATATAAGAACAAGAGTCTAAAAAGACTACAAAAGCAGGGGCAGGAACTTTAGATAGCGGTTAGTATGTGGCAGACTATATGAAATTATAGAGCATTTTAGTATGATAAACTAAAGGTTCGTTTAATCTACTTTATGGTACATCATGTAGCTTTCTCTAGCCTAAATAACATGTTTATACTGAGGACTGGGAGAAAACATAGGAGTCCATTTCCTGGGGCTATCTCACATGGTACTACTGACACTGGTGAATGCCATCTTTCCAGAACTTCAAAGGAACATTTCCCACCTTCCCTGTAGATAGAATTCAATCTGGAGCTTTTGGCAAACAAAACAGATTGTAAATATCCATTTGGATGTAATGAGGTCTACTCTTTGGTCAGGAAGGTCATAAGTTCCTATCAAGTTTACCTGGCCTCTGCAGTGAGCCAGATGTTTATGTGTTCTGTGCCCGTCCCACACACGCACCCCCACAGACAGCCTGGAGTTAATAAGCCACACAACAAAATCTTTGAATATAAAGCTGGCAGCAACCCAGTGGCTAGCCAAGACTTTACTCACACAAAACAAAGATTAGACTGCAAGCATTCCGATAAAGCAGGCAAAGTTTCAGCAATACAAGGATTAGTCCAAATGCAGTCCGACAAGGCAGGCAGAACTCCAGTAACGCAGAGATCATGGATTATTTCTAGTTTTTGCTCATCACAAACTGAACCGGCCACCACACCCACATTTATACTTGTGGGGTGTGGTCCAGTGACTCACTAATCTCTGGCACGCCTTCCCCTCTGCTGCTCACTCTTCCCCCTGTGCCACTGCCAAGGATCCAGCCAGCACTTATCTCCTTCATCGCTGTCCACCTGTGGCTGCGGGGACGTGCTTGGCTCTGGGCCTATCTCTTGGCCTTCGGTGTCCTCCGGAGGCATTGCCAGAGAGGAGTGTCCTGGAGAGGGAGGCCTTGCCAACTCCTCTCCCTCACTCTCAGAGTCTGCATCTGTCGATAGCCCAGGCTCAGGCAACGGAACCACAACAATGTGTTTATCCTCCTCCTTTCCCCCCACCTAGCATTATATCAGACTTTGAAAGCTCAAAGCAGCCTAAGTCCTAGTGAGATAATCAGAGTGTGGTGTCCAAGCTTCCATCTGCCATCTTGAACCCAAGGTAGAAATATGCATTAGGTTCTCTACTTCTCAATGATCCAACTATCCATTTAGAGCAGGGGTGGGCAGCTATGGCAACTGAATGACCTATGGACTTCAACTCCCAGAATTCCTGAGCCGGCATGGTTATCATAGTTGCCTACCCCTGATTTAGAGCAAAAATCCCAGTCTTTTTCAGAATCATAGGGCTGGGGAAAGGCAGGCCATTTTATTATTTAGCACTAAACATGGGGCTCTTCACACATGCTAGAATTGAGTTGAGCATACCTCAGGACAAACTTAGTTAATAAAATAATGGATTTTTGCATTCTAAAAGCAATTTAGGTTAGCAATTCCATTGTTTAGCCATGCTAAAATGTAAAAATTGATAGTCGTAGCATGTCATTTAGTATACTTTCTGGAGAGAGAAGAGAAGCCAACAGCATGAGGAGTCATCCGCATTCAAGATCTCCTTGCCAGCTTCCTAGAGACATCACCTAACTAGCGATTGTGTCAAGAGGATGTTGGATTAGGTGAACCACTCTGGATTTTCACCTGTTCTGCATAGCATTTGCATGACTTTATTACCAATCCTTGACGAAGAACATACTGCTTGATGGTTCTCATTAATGTTACCCAAGGGAGGAAACCTATTTGAAACTTGGCTCCCTGAGTGGTGTTGGGAAAGACATGTGGACACCCTTAGATGACCTGTCTAGTGCCAGGCGTTCCTGCTTTTCACTCCCTGTATGCCATCTGCTCTAATTTTTTTTTGGCTCCGCAGCCAGGCAAGGTAGGTTAGGAACGGTAGGGCCTCGTCTTTGTCAGCAACTCCAAATGGATTGCAGGTGTCCTGATCGGAGACGCCTGGCACTGATTTTGCGTTGGACGTTTAGCCTGCTTAAAAATAGTGTGGAGAAGATGTAATGTGACATGACGCAAAGCGGAGTGATGAGTACCCCGGTGTCTAATCACCTCAGCACAGATGGAAAGCAGCAAATTGGAAACTGCTGGAGCCGTGCAAATGGTTAAGCCACCTTTGCCTGTGGCTACTTTGTTCCTCTAAACAGGAAAACCATCCCTACCGTTTCTGAGGCCTCATCTTTGAATGCTGTTGTTGCTTCTCTTGCTATAAGAAAGCCTTTCATTGGTCAAGAGAGCAGGTAGCCCTGATGGGCCCTACCAAGCTTTGCTGTGATTTGGTTCAGTTGGAATTTCAGAAACAAACCAGCTTTCCAATTTGGATTGGCCATCTGAATCTGTCTTTTTGAACTAGACGCTCCAAACCAGATTGACAGTTTGGATCAAACTGCGTTCTCCAAATTTTAATAGGACTTTCTAAATCGAAGCAGCTTTATAGTTTTGCGTGAAAGAGAGCGTGGGATAATGAACTGGAGCACAGGCGATGTTTTGTTCAAGGCTTTGTGGGCAGGAACAAGGCAGGAAGACAATTCTGAGGTTGTAAAATAGATTGGATCACTTCAGATTTGCAGGATAGAAGGGAGATCCATTGCTGGGTTTCTGAAGCACGCTTGACCAAGTCTTAATGATCCAGTCTCTGCATTTGCAGAGCACATTAAGTGCAGTCGTTATTAATGTTCATTAAAGATTTGTCTTGGGTAGATTCTGCTGTTTGGTTAGTTTATAATTCAGTGTATGTGAAAATCTAGAAGATGTATTAATTTAGATGTATTAAGATGTAACCAATTTATGTATCAGGTATGAATGTAACTTCCATTTTTAAGCGTGGGAGTGTGTTACCTTAATAATAGTAATGGTAACTATTTCTATTAAAATTGAGATGCTAATCAGAAGTCTGAATTTTTTTTTTAATCATTTGTTTTGTTGAGCTTACATTGGACATGGCTGAACTATAGAAGCATAGAATTAAGCCAATCTGGGTATAACTGGGGGAAGTCCAGTTCAAAACAAGGGTCCACAAACTCTGATAGCCTCTTGATGATCTAGACCAGTCTTTCTCAACCTTGGCAACTTGAAGATGTGTGGACTTCCAACTCCAAGAATCCTCCAGTGAGCTTGCTGGCTTGGGAATTTTACAAGCTGAAGTTCACACATCTTCAAGTTGCCAAGGTTGAGAAACACTGGTGTAGACATTGAGAAGGAAACAAGGCCCCAGGTAGTGCGTACGTACAAACCAATCTCTCTCTCTTCCTAAATTCTGCATTCAAGGGAATTGCCAAGAGAGACAAAGAGGAATGTAAACTATTTTGTAATAGTTTACTCTAGGTTTGTTTGTTTTTTATCATACTAAGCTCGTTCAGGTCTGTTCCATATCAACCTATCAAAAAGTTCCATATAAAAGAGTCTGTACCCACCCAAAACTAAATTTGAAAAATAGTTAAGTTTATTGTTTTTAACATTGATAAAATATCTTGAGATCTACAAGATGCGGGTGAGATCATGAAAATCTTATGGAGAGAGGTTATCCAATTATTGTATAAGATTATATGTAGACATTTGAGTTAACTAAGATGAAAATTTCCATTTCATGCCCAACTCCTGATAATTTCATAAATACAGGTAATCTTTGACTTACAACCATTCATTTAATGACCATTTAACATTACTATGGCACTGAAAAAAGTGACTAATGAACATTTTTCACACTTACAATCATTGCAAGCATCCCCATGGTCATGTGTTAAAAATTCAGTCAGTTGTCTTATATATTTATGACGGTTGCAGTGTCCTGGGGTATGTATCACCTTTTGTGACCTTCTGGCAAGCCAAATCAATGAGGAGCACAGATTCAACTAGATTACTAACTTAACTACTACAATGATTTCCCTAACAACTGTGACAGGAAAAGTCATAAAGTGGGACAAAACTCACTTAACAACTGTATTACTTAGCAGTGGAAATTTTGAGTTCAATTGTGGTCGTAAGTCGAACACTACCTGTATGTCCATGTAGTTTTCTTGGTAGTAATACGGAACTATTTGTGATTGTCTTCTTCTGTTTGTTTGTTCTTCAACTTCCCATTCTAGATTACAACTCTGGAATTTCCTGGTGGTAATCCAGCCAAGGACTAACAAATCCAGCCATACTTAACTAAGGTCAGCTAGGTGCTGCCACCTAGCAGGGCTATCAAAGATTGCTTGTCGCAGAATTTTGTACTGTATTATTGTTAATGATGATTACACGTGTTAAAGTTCAAAAGTGAGACAGAATAGAAGAGAAACTCAAAGCAGAGATCTTTTGATAGAAGCAGATTGGCAGATCAGTTCAGACTTTAGTAAGAAAGCAGATGGCAGAAAAATTCATTCTGTCTGATATATATATTTGTTTTCTGAGGTTTTTGCGGGTATTTGTATGTAGGTCTTTGGTTATTCGGGTTTTCTCCCGCGTAAAATTGGAAGTGTCTTGACGATGTTTCGACAAAGTCTCATTCGTCATCTTCAGGCTGGAGTTTTTGGCTTCGTGCTTCTAGGAGCAATGTGAGATCGCAGCTGTTTCTTCCTTTTAACTGCTAGTGGGGGTGTGAACTGATTCGGTGGGAGGTTGGACCTAGGTGGGACCTAAACAGAACACACCCCCATCCAATCAGAGCACAGCCAACCCCCCATCCAATCAGAGCATAGCCAAACCCCCAACCAATCAGAACACACCTCCACCCAATCAGAACACAGCCAAGCTCCCACCCAATCAGTTCACACCCCCACTGGCAGTTAAAAGAAGAAGAAACAGCTGCGATCTCACATTGCTCCTAGAAGCACGAAGCCGAAAACACCAGCCTGAAGATGACGAATGAGACTTCGTTGAAACGTCACCAAGACACTTCCAATTTTACGTGGGAGAAAACCCGAATAACCAAAGACCTATATACAAATACCAGCAAAAACCTCAGAATATATATATATATATAGAAATATATATATATATATATAGAAACCTGAGAAAACAAAATATATATATATATATATATATATATATATATATTATATATATATATATTATATATATATATATATATCTCATTCGTCATCTTCAGGTTGGTGTTCTCGGCTTCGTGCTTCTAGGAGCAATGTGAGATCGCAGCTGTTTCTTCCTTTTAACTGCCACGAAGCCGAGAACACCAGCCTGAAGATGACGAATGAGACCAAAGACCTACATACAAACACCCGCGAAAACCTCAGAAAACAAATATATATATGTATATGAGTCCTGGAGATGCAGTGGTTAAGTGCAGTATTGCAAGCAAACTCTGCCCACAGCCTGGAGTTTGATCCTGATGGGCTCAAGGTTGACTCAGCCTTCCATCCTTCCCAGGTTGGTAAAATGAGGACCCAGATTGTTGGGGGCAATATGCAAATGCTTACATTGTAAACCACCCAGAGAGTGATGTAATGCGCTATGGGGCAGTATATAAATCTAAAATGCTATTGATATTGATATTATTGCCATTGTTGTCAAATGCACCTTTCTAAGTGGTATAGAAAACCAGAATGACTGTGACCATTAAAACCCACAAATTTAAATAATACACAAAATTGTATTTATTAGGGTAACACATTCAAAATATTTCATAGTGGGGAAAATTGTTTGGAAAAGTGATATATAATGTTAGCTTTTTGTCCCGAATAGCAAAAATGAGACTGTTCTCCAAATTCTCAGTTTGTGGTTTAAAGTGCTGCAATCTGTTTCTTGATAAAATCCATTCATTTTGTGACAGAAGAATGCAAGTCCTTTTAGCTTGTAATATTATAATTACTTGCTAGCTTGGTTCCAAGGTGCTTCATAGGAGGGGAGATTAATTTACTTCCCTGCTACCTCTGTAGCTTGAATTGGCAGCTGAAAAAGCAAAAAAACTCTTGCCTTTATCTGCAGGCATGTAGCTGGCAAAGGGATCACATCTGGCTATGCATCTCCCAATAAAATTACTTGGAGCCTGAGTGCTCCTACCTTGTGGGATGCAGCAGGAGGTGAAAGCTGATGAAAGGCCTGGAGGCACAATCTGGAGAAGCTCCTTGTCAGTTTCACCTCTGCCAGGAGTCCAAGGGAGTTGAAACTGACAAGAGGCGTTTTTCTGGCTGGATCTTGATACATGATGAGGCTTGGGCTGGAGAAATCCCAGGTCAGGTTGCTGTGCTTCTTTCTTTCTTTCTTTCTTTCTTTCTTTCTTTCTTTCTTTCTTTCTTTCCTTCCTTCCTTCCTCCCTCCCTCCCTCCCTCCCTCCCTCTCTTCCTTCCTGTCTTTCTCTTTCTCTTTCCATCCATGTGGGATTTTAAAAACACAATGAGGTTCAAAACAGTGCAAGTAGATAAGTAGATTAAATAATGGGAGCAGAACATCATTTATTATCCTGCATACTGAGCCCAATAACAAAACAATTGATGATCTCTCTCTCTGTCTCTCTCTCTGTTTCTCTCTGTCTCTCTGAGAGAGAGAGAGAGACAGAGAGAGAGAGACAGAGACAGAGACAGAGAGACAGAGAGACAGAGAGAGAGAGAGAGAGAGAGAGAGAGAGACAGAGAGACAGAGAGAGAGGGAGAGAGAGAGACAGAGAGGGAGGGAGGGAGAGAGAGATACACAGAGAGAGACAGAGAGACAGAGAGGGAGAGAGAGACAGAGAGACAGACAGAGAGGGAGAGATCAATTTCTGAATTTCTTCTCATTTCTTTTCAACAAAGCATCCTGTAATAATTTTAAAAGGTGGACCCTTTTAATTAATAAAATAGGTTTCAAAAGCCCTTCTGCAAAGCAATCCTGTATCCACTGCCAGGTAGATCTACTCCCAGTTTGTTTTCTACTTGCCGTCATAGCTATGCATTGAATCTTGAAGTTTTGTTAGACTGACAATGCATCTCTCCCCCCCCCAGGTTACAACGTAAGCATTGCCTTTTATGTTACAAGCATACACAAAAGGGGTTGCCTTTGCATTGTGATATTGTGCCACACAGATTGCCCCCTTGCCCCCCACCAGTTTTGGGGACTGTTAGTTTTCTATGAGTCCCAAACCAATATTATCACACACATCGCCATTGCAAGAAAGCTATGCCCTTGCACCAGTCATAGTTCATCCCTAGGTGCCCCATAACCATAAAATAACACAATCACATGTGTCCAGCAAACTGAAGTATGCATAGCCTGATGTTGTGAAATGGACACAAAATGAGGCCATCACACCTCAGTTTCTCTTCATTGGGCCCAGGGCATTTAGATGCTAGGTGTGTCAGAGATTGGTGGGGAGGAAACCAGCACCCTGGAATTCCACAATGCTTCCCAAAGTACATTTTATAACAATTTTGATACAAGGCTTTTACCAAGAGGAAGAAAAAAAACATCGAAGACGTGATGGTGTTAGTAATGAAAGAAATTTCAGATCTGATAGAACTTGGGCAATGCATGTCCAAAGCGATCATGTATCTTGTTACCAAACGAAAGCTGTTTTTCTTTCCCTTTTCCAACAAGTTACTGAAGTATCCCTCAGAGGCCATGTCAGAAGCAGCTAATGAAAAGAGGAAGTGTTACACGCCATTGCATTTTCTTCTTTTAAATAAGTATGGCTGATTTTTGAAAGGGCTTACACTCAACTCTCTCCTGTTTTCATTACTGAGTTCAGCTCTTGCGAAATTTGATTGCCTCTGGAGCAGTAAGTTTGCCCCAGTGAATGATCCCACAAAATATTGAAAGAAATCAGCCAGTTCCCAGTGAACGGTGGATGGTCCCAAATTCAGAGAGATATCAAGGAATTCTTTAAATAAAAACTTCCTCAAATCAAACTGGACTCCTGATGATTGCATAATGAATGATCTGCAAATATAATATTCTTTGAAGCAATATGCAA